GGAATGTTACTAGCTGATGTAGCGCTGTATACCTACTGCTCATTTTTAATATAGACGGCATCTGTGGTCTGTCGGTTTAGAGCTTCGCCATACATCTGATGGTCGTGGATTCGTTTCCTTCCACGGTACAAATATTTGTATTCATGAGTATGATTTTCTCTATCTCTCTGGGTGTTTTCTATGTATATTATATATGTAATAATAAAATATCGTATTTATGTCAGTTGTCCAGTAACCATAATACAAGCTCTGCTTACCATGGGACTAGATGGGGCTATAATAATTGTCCAGGGTTATTATTAATTGCTAGTATTATAAATGCAATAGAGTTTCTGACTGTTTGTCACGTCTTTTAAACGCCTGAACAGATTGTATGAAATCTCCTTCTTTATATTTTAAAAAGCACTCGAATCGCGCCAACCTGCTAGTATTAAATTTAAAATTAAGCTCCGGAATTGAACCTGATAACTTGTGAAGACAAAACGGCCATCAAAAACAATAGTATTGCGAGCGCATGCGCAGTGTTTTTGTCTGTAAATACCTACAAGTACAAGTCAACCTTGTCTCGTTACCGATTACTGAAGGCTCAGATAAAGTTACCAATAGTATTGTTCTAATCATTATATCTAGCACATATTATGAACAATTATAATCATTATATTAATGCGTGAATTAAAAACATACTTATATCGTGGCATCACTAGCCATTTTTAAGAACGCTGTACAATCAAACTAAAATGTAAACATAATAAATTTTCTTTCAGCTTTCCTTCGTTAAATAAATAAAATATAAATAACCCCAGACAATTAACACAGCGCCATCTAGTCCCGTGGTAAGCAGAGAATAGAATAGAATAAAAAATCATTTATTTGAAGCACTTTTGAATAGTCATAACATTTTTTTTAATCTACCGCTCATTCGGAAAGCTGTCTCATCACAAGAAGAACGAGCAAGAAACTTGTGTGTTGCTCTTTTAAATAATTTTATTATTACTTTACATTTTTAAGTTTAAGTGCGTGAATACAAACTATCAATTAGCACTAATTCAATTAAATACTCAAATAGAAAAAATATTAAATATACAACCAACTGGTTAAACAATTAATAAGAGGAAATCAATCATAGTTATAAGAGCAGACAAGTCCCTACAAACAGCACCCGTTCACGAGTTTGACGGATGGGCCAGCCATAACTGCGATTGACCATATTTTAGGGAGCCCAATGACCCGGCCCACCACGCCGCCACAAATTTGGACTTTTAGTGAGCATGATTACTCAAGACACCAGACCACGTCAAAGCTACTTACAATTGCCATCTGATAGTTTGTGTTTGGATAGTAGACACACGTTAATTGTTCTGGAATCTTATTATGTTATATACTTCTTAGTATTCCCTTTGACGGGGTGATATAGTTGTCTTTGCGGGTGACAATCACCAAACAATGACAATATTATTATTATTTCTTTTGTCATTTTTAAAGCAAGAAACTTGAAAATTATTTTTTAAAATATAAATATAGAAAAAGGGTTGAAAGTTGGGAGCTGAAGGGTTGTATAAAAGCATCGTAATTATGAAAGCTAGAAACTTGACACTTGTTTTTTAGACTATTGATTTAATATTATTAAAGAAAAAGGGTTGAAGGTGAGCTGAAGGGTTGTATAAAATTATCGTAATTATTAAAGCTAGGATCTTGAAACTTGTTTTTTTAGGCTATTGATTGAATATAAATAAAGAAAGAGGGTTGAAAGGGGTGATGAAGGGTTGTATAAATGTATTGTAATTATTAAAGCTAGAACCTTGAAAATTATGTTTTAGTCTATTGATTGAATATAAATAAAGAAACAGGGTTGTAGGTGAGCTGAAGGGTTGTATAAAATTATCGTAATTATTAAAGATAGAAACTTGAAACTTGTATTTTTAGACTATTAATTGAATATAAATAAAGAAAAAGGGTTGAAGGGGAGGTGAAGAGTTGTATAAAAGTTATTGCCCTTAATTATGAAAGCTAGAAACTTGACACTTGTTTTTTAGACTATTGATTTAATATTATTAAAGAAAAAGGGTTGAAGGTGAGCTGAAGGGTTGTATAAAATTATCGTAATTATTAAAGATAGAAACTTGAAACTTGTATTTTTAGACTATTAATTGAATATAAATAAAGAAAAAGGGTTGAAGGGGTGATGAAGGGTTGTATAAAAGTATCGTAATTATTAAAGCTAGGATCTTGAAACTTGTTTTTTTAGGCTATTGATTGAATATAAATAAAGAAAGAGGGTTGAAAGGGGTGATGAAGGGTTGTATAAAAGTATCGTAATTATTAAAGCTAGGATCTTGAAACTTGTTTTTTTAGGCTATTGATTGAATATAAATAAAGAAAGAGGGTTGAAAGTGAGGTGAAGGGTTGTATAAAATTATCGTAATTATTAAAGATAGAAACTTGAAACTTGTATTTTTAGGCTATTGATTGAATATAAATAAAGAAAGAGGGTTGAAAGGGGTGATGAAGGGTTGTATAAATGTATTGTAATTATTAAAGCTAGAAACTTGAAACTTGTTTTTTAGACTATTGATTATATATAAGTAAATAAGTCATTTAAAGTTAGTAAAAATTTACCCTTAAAATAATTAAATAGGTGATGAAAATTTGTATCGAAAATCATTATTTTTAATCTACACCGATGAAACTTTTCTCTTTGTCTTTTTTGAGTTATCTAACTATTGAATATTTTTTATTTATTTAGTCAAGGTCACTGTAACACGCAATCCAAGTATATAATATCTAGATGCGTCCGCGACTTCGTCCGCGTGGAATAGCGACCTCGGTTGAGTATATTATTTTACCCCCTTAATAGGGGATTAATTTTTTTACAAACGTTGTATATGATATATATTATATTTGTATATATTTATTCTATATCCTAAGAACTATATTATAAATTTCTACCTTTAAAAATGACGATACTTCCATATAACCTTACATCTCCCCATTCAACCCCTTTCAACCCTTTTTTCGCTTTAAAAAGTAGCCTATGTCCTTTCTTATGGTCTCGACTATATGTATAACAAATTTCATTTAAATCGATTCGGTAGTATTTGCGTGAAAGCGAAATAGACAGACAGAGTTACTTTCGCATTTTTAATATTAGCAAAGGAAGGATATATATTTAAAAAAAATAATAATAATCATAATAATTTCAGGACAATTCACACAGCGCCATCTAGACCCAAGTTAAGCTAGCTAAAGCTTGTGTTATGGGTACTAGATAACTGATACAAATACATAGATATTTTTTTTTTTTTTAAATACATACATATTATATATAGAAAACACCCAGACCGATACAAACAATCATACTCATGAATACAAATGTTTGTGCCGTGCGAGGAATCGAACCCGCGACCATCGGTCGTAAAGCGGTGTACTAGACCGCTGGACCACCGAGGAAATCAGCTAACGTTTTGCAGGTTGTGTGTTAGGAACAGCTATATTATTGTTGCTAACCGTGCTACAACAACTGAGCTGCCGCAACCAATGGCCGAAGTGAACGCCAGTGCCAGTGTTGCAATACAATTTTGTTAGCTATTACCGAGTTACCTCGGCGGTAGACCGTTACTGTTGTTTATTATTTATTGTTATTACGACCTAAGTGGTTAGCGCAGCGGTTCCCAATTAGTTTTTGCTGCGTACCACTTCAAAAAAGACCTCAAACCTTGCGTACCTCTTATTATAGCAATCACACTTGTTTGGGAAACTACTCTGCTACCAAAATGTTAGGGAATTTACTATCTGTAGGGGGATTTAGTATGTCTAGCGTACCTGTGTGGTTCTGCGGATTTCTTGGGCTTCAGGGTCTCGAAGGTATCTTCGCTAGCTTTCACACACTTTCACAGTACGGTTTCCAGTTCTAATTTATTTTAATTCACTAATGTTATAAATGCGAAAGTTTGTGTGTGTGTGTATGTTTGTTAATTCTTCACGCTCGAACGACTGCGGGAACAAAACGAAGCAGGAACGGCTGATGGGGGCAGCTGAATGACGATGCAGCAGGCGCGAGATAGCGCACGGTCGGTCATGGTGTTCGGTGCTCCGTGTTTTTACGCTGATGATCGTAAAAAAATAATAATTTGGAAATTGTTCTTGTTTTTACTGATAGCCGCACGTACCCCTTGATGCAAGTTTACGTACCCCTGGAAGTACGCGTTTTTTTTTTTTTATACTACTATGGTGGCAATCAAGCATACGGCCCATCTGATAGTAAATGGTTACCGTAGCCTATGAACGCCTGAAACACCAGGGGTATCACTTGCGCGTTGCCGACCCTTAAGAAACCTTAATATACCCTTCTTGAAAAACCCCATGCTGTAGTCTCGTGGTGTGATGATGATGGGATGAATGCGTACCACTAATTGGGAACCACCGGTGTAGTGGTTTAACACTGCTTTACATCCGATTGTCGCGGATTCGATTCCTCGCACAGTGGAGACTTATTTTATTCATAATAGTAATCTATACATCTATACATACATATAAAATTGGAGTGTCTGTTTGTAATATTGAAATAACCGTTTTTTTATGCATATGAATATAAATACGGTACATACACCAAAATATTTTTTTACAATTATTGTCTGTCTGTTTGCTTGTTTCGGCTAATCTCTGTAATGGCTGAACTACTTAAATTTATATGCGGGTGCTGCTTGTGGCGACTGGTCTGTTTGGGTTGCGAACACTGATTAGTCTATTTGCTTTCGCAATAGCATATGCTGGTGGTCACTCTATTCTCCCAAGTTTGAATTTAAAAATGAATCTGTATTATTGTAAACATGTATAATATTTTTTTAAAAAGAACACGAGCTGAGTTTCTCGTCACTTCTTCTCATCTCGAAATCATTCCGAACTGACGGTAGATTTGACATATCATAAGAGTCTGTAATAGAACATGAATAAAGATATTTTGATTTGATTATGATTTGATTTGATTTGATTGTATGTTTCAGGAGTGTGTCACGATCTCCATCGCCGTCCCTGCGAGCCACCGACCCTTTGGACCTCCTTGACAATGAGAAGGTAATACAATCCTTACCTATATCATAAATGCGAAAGTAACTCTGTCTGTCTGTCACGCTGTCTTGCCATATCTACTGAACAGATTTAAATTAAATTCGGTACACAGTTAGTCTAAACCCCGAGAAAGGATGTAGGCTACTTTCTAATGCGAAATAGGGGTTGAAAGTGGAGATGAAGGGTTGTACAGAAGTATCGTCAGTTTTAGAGCAAGAAAGTTGGAACTTATTTTTTAGGCTGATGCTTACCTTTATCCTAACAAAATTATCTTATATATAAAATTCTCATGTCACAGTTTTCGTTCCCATACTCCTCCGAAACGGCTTGATCGATTCTCATGAAATTTTGTGAGCGTATTGAGTAGGTCTGAGAATCGGCCAACATCTATTTTTCATCCCCCTAAATGTTAGGGGTAGTCCACCCCTAAATTTTTTTTTTATTTTAAGGCAAAACAACGTTTGTCGGGACAGCTAGTTATATATATAAACGCGAAAGTTTGTGAATATGGATGAATTGTTATTGTTACTCTATCTTTTTTTTTCAAACTACTAAACGGGTGTACAATCGAACGAGATTACGTTTGTTTTAGTTCCTAAGTGTGCCACTAGATGGCGTTGTTTAGTTTTTATACTTTTTTCTACATCACGCTATTTAGATTTTTTTTGGAACACATATAGTCTTTGAATAATTATTAATATAAATAATATAACAACCACTGTGGAAAGGTTTCCGTAGTTTAATTTATTTAACTACCCTAATCAAAGTACACCCTTGGGGATCCGTGGATAAGATTATTCAACGGGCTTTGATGAAACTTTACAGTAATATACCTTATACATCAGAATAACACATAGGCTATAGTTGCTCGTATGCAAATAAATAAATTTTGTTATTATTTGTCTTCCAGTGTGCCGACTCAATATTCGTTTCGTCGCAGGCGGGCGGCGGCGACTCATCGTCGGTGTCGAGCACCGAACCTGCTACCGTGGTCCCGGCGTCCAACTCGATCAGAGGCGACAACCCCAAGGTACAGGTATGTTTCCATTCACAAAGAGGTTTATTAAGAAAAGTTGCTCTAGCATCATTGGTACACAATACATCTATATTCAAACTAACTGTGCCCGCGATTTCATCCGCATATTTAGTGACCTTGATAAAATAATGAAAAAATATTCAATAATATAACTCAAAATAGCCAAAGAAAAATGAATCATCGTTCTACCTTCATAAATGTCGATTTTCCATACAAACTTTCATCCTATATTTTATTTTACCCCCTTGTTCAAAATCTACCCTGTATCATCGTAAGCACAGATATTATATTTTTAGAGTCCGTTAAACTTTGAACTAGTAACAAACGGACTGTATATATATTGTGTTGTGAATTAAAATAAATTAGAACTGTGTATATATATATATTCGAGACCCTGAAGCCCAAGAAATCCACAGAACCATAAAGGTAAATATATTAACATTTTGGTACAGAGTGTTTCCCAAACTAATAAATAACTTTGAATGTCATATGTATATATATGTTCATATATATATATTTGTTCACATATATTAAATGAACTGTCTAATAAATAAGTTTCTAGCTTCTAAGCTTTAAAATTGACGATACTTGCATACAAAGTTTCATCTCCCCTTTCTACTCCTTACAACCCTTTTATCACTAGACCAGAGGGTCCCTAACTTTTTTGGGTCGTGCCATATTTTTCTGTTTTAGGTAGACCCAACATTCTTACCTGGTATTGGTTTTTTATAAATTTCTAACTGTAGTAAAGTTAGTAGGTAGTGTTAAAAACATAAAGTAAAAACAACAAGATTATCGCTGTTATACACCCCTTGCAGTTTGTCATAGACCCCTGGGGGTCGATATAGACATCTTTGAGAATCACTGGTCTAGACTATCTGTGTACCGAATTTCATTTAAATCGGTCCAGTAGTTTTGGCGTTAAAGCGAGACAGACGGAGAGAAAGTAACTCTACTTTCACATTTATAATATTAGTAAGTGTGTCAAGCGTATTTTCTTTCTTTCTTCTAATCTGGATCCCGTTAATCTTTCAGGTGACGTCTCCAAATGCGGTACGAGCTGACGGCACCCGCAAGAAGAAAAGCTGGTACAACGCTCTGTACCCCACGTACAAGAGTAAATCTGATGACTTCAAGCGGCTGTTCAAGGATCTACCTGATGATGAGAGGCTCATTGTAGGTCAGTGTAGACGTAATGCATAGTGTAAGGTTCCTGATGATGAGATAGGAACCATGATAACGTGATCATTATTAAAGTTACTTTAATTTTTAGATATTATTTTATTCATTGATAAAGTACTACTTGCAGCTCATCATCTGCTTCACCCTTATCCCATTTATTTGTGGTCGGCGTAATATGTTTTTCTCTTCCATTCATCCCTGTTCGCAGTCATCTCGTTATTTACTCCCTTTCTTACCATATCGTCTTTCACAGAGTTCATTTTTAATAAAGGTGTATAAGGTAAGAGGAAAGTCAAAAATGAGATTCTTTTTTGGATTTCCTCTGCCCTTATATCCATCCAGATTCATATGTATAATACCTTTCTTAATATATTATATTACTAGTAGTAGTAGTAGCTGTACCCGCGACTTCGTCCGCGTAAAATAGTGACCTTGACCAAAAATTTAAAAAAATTATTCCCTAATTTATTTAACCCTCTTAAGGGTAAAATTTTGTATGTCATATTTATTTATATTTCATTAACAGTCTCAAATATAAGTTTCAAACTTCTAGCTTTCAAAAATGACGATTCTTCCATACAATCTTTCATCCCCAATTTCAACCTCTTACAACCCTATTATCTCATCGAAAAGTGTACCAGATTTCATTTAAATCGTCCTTTTTTGCTCAAGCGGACAGACAGAGACAGAGTTACTTTCATATTTATTATATGAGTAAGGATAACTTATTTAAAAATTTCGATAGTAGGTCTAAGAATCGGCTACTATCTATTTTTCATACCCCTAAGTCAGGGTAGGCGATCCTTTATGCATCAACGTACCATTTTTTCCAAAAAATGTTTAATGGGGTCATTGCCGTGCCATCAAATAATTCTGACTTTCTGATTATTTGGAAAATAATAATAATAAATACTATCAAAACTCTATGAAATAAAGTAAACAAAAGAGGTACATTTTGGATTGTTTTCATTACACGCATAAATTAAATTACTGTAAAATTAGTGTGACTTCTATTGCTGCAGTTAGATGACAAATAATTTATGTCAGGCTTGTACGATGTTACTTTTAGCACAATGCATGCTGAACTGGATTCATCTGTCAAACGGTTTCTAACCGAGTTTTTAATGTTATTCATCTCTGAAAATAATGACTCGCAGGCATAGGTAGGTGAAAATATTGTTAAAATAGCATGAGCCAGCTTCTTCAAACAGTTTTATGATTGACGACGTGCCCAAAATGTTGTGGCGCGTGCCGTCAACGGCACGCGTGCCATTGGTTCTCCAACCCGGTGTTGTCCACACCTAACATTTTTTTTTAATTTTTGGTCACTTTTTTTTTTAATTTTTTATAACATTAAAAATTTATACAACTAAATTTTCACCCTTTTAGTAACAAAGCCTATTTTTTAAGTAAGTAAGTCGTTTATTTGCATTACAGACAAGATAGTAAACAATTAAGTCACAATGATCATATCAGCAGACGGCGCTGTAATATGCCTTTTTACAGTAGGCATGCAAATTTTTATTACTCAGCCTAAAAATTACTTATGTTATAACAATTATATTCTAATTTAATATTTAACTATTATTATACAATGTTTTTACAATTTTTTTTTATATATATTATATATCTCTCTTTGGTGGGGTAATAGACTGATCATTGCGGGTAAAAATCACCAAACAATGATAGTATAAATTATGAATGATTTTAATTATTATGGATAATTTTTAAGTGGAAGACAAAAATTTGCGGACTATTCTACAAGTGTTTAATATTACAGCTTTTTGGAGAAGGATGAAAGTAAGTGGGTGAAGCTGTAATATTTTGAGGCTACAGTGTAGGCATGTTGGAATGACACCTGTGGACGAAATAATAATTGGGAGAGATTTTACTGTTTCTACCTGCCATTGCAGTTTTAATTCTATTGCTAGATCAGTATACTTAGTAATTTTTTCTGTATGTGTTGATAGAAGATTATGTGTATTTGATATTGCAATATCTATAAGGTAAACTATTTTATTTTTCTTATCATGTAGCGTTATATCTGGTCTGTTGTGATGTACAGTTTTGTCTGTTATTACATTTATCATTATTACAATTATTATTCTTATTACATTACATTCTATTTTTATATATATAACTTAAATAATCATCTATAGAGCAGAAACAGTGCACTAACATCCATTTAGTGAATTTGTTTTTAAAATGTTGTCCTGTCAGTTCTATGAAATCTGTAGGTAGTGTATTAAATATTTTATGTGCCATGTAAGACACATCTCTTTGAAATAACGGTAGGTTACTTTTCAATACTAACTATAGCAATACTAACTTATTCTTTCTCGTTGTTCTTGCATTATCTTTTATTTGCCAGTGGGATGTAAACATACGTAAATTCTATTTCACGAACAAACATATTTCAATTATGTATAAACACAGTAAAGGATGAATATTTAGTTTCTGAAACAATGGTCTATGTTTGTATTTGCCGGTTCTTTTATATATTATACATTATTATGTATGAAATCAAAGACTGTTGTCTGTTGACTTATGTGAATATATTTCAATTGTTTTTTATAATGTTTTTAAATATTTATGTACAAAATAGGTTTTAAACATACTCCACCTTAGAAGATTTGAATATGAATATTAACTAATTTATGAATAAAATGTACAGGAAATAATGAAATTAACAAGCATTTTTTATAGGTCTGTGAAAGGTTCCTTATTGAATTCTGTCTTAATGACTCTACCCACCAACCTAACACATGGAGTAGTGTTATAATTGTGTCTGTATATTTCTTCTAAAATGCATCCATTTAGGACTTTGTAACTCTGTTGAAATCTATAATATACATTAACGCTAAAACTATTGCCTTAGGACAGAAATTCTTTGAAATAATAATAATCAAGTTAATTGAATATGCATCACATTAGGATCAGGTAAATCTATAGAGTTACCTATAAAAAAATAATCTATAGCACTCAGCCTGTATTATGACATCGCATGGATGACACTTGAGAAACGCTACGAAAACAAAATGTTTGATATTGTCTCTTGTAATGGTATTGTAATTCAATATTTTCAAGTGGTGATTGACAATCAACATTTTGTTTTGGTAGCGTTTCTCAAGTGTCATCCATCGATGTCATAATTATCCTCTATAATTGGTAATGAGGAAATCAATCCTGCGGCTTCACCCCTTAGAAAAGACTTCAAGTAATAAAATTTTTCAATTTTAGTTAAATTGTTGTTGTTATTAATTACAGATAAAAATAAATTTTTAAAGTTATTCCAGTCCCTGATCTCTCCGCTGTATATGGGAATATTTAGTTGGGGTATAGGGACATGGTTTTGTATGGATTTCTGTATAGGAATGCTATTAATATTAGAATTATCATTTATTTTAATGTTTGTGTATTTCTCGTATATAGCTGTAGTTTCATAATATTTATTCTCAAAACTTTCTCTCTCTATTGTATCTGATTCTAAATCTTGTAGACACTCTATTTCCAATTGAATTTCCATAAAATCATCCAACATTTTTTCTAAATTTTTATATCTAGTTTTTATTTCATACGTTTTGCCGTGATTGTTGACATCACTAATAAATGTATAATGGCGTGTGAGATTGCCTTTCATAATATTGCTCGTTTGCTAAGCAATCGCTTCAATTCAGCCATGCTGATTATTATATATTGTAAATATTAATGTATATACTTATATCGTAATTTACTTACGGTTTGTATGTTGTATTGTAAGATCTGTTGATCGGACTTCTGTGTTGTCGAAGTCTTTTTGTATTTATATGGTTACCTGTTGGTATATTCTGTTGAATATATATTTTGCCATATGTTGGCTTTAAAAATCTCGAAGGACCACTAAATGTTTGTATTTGCCGGTTCTTTTATATATTATACATTATTATGTATGAAATCAAAGACTGTTGTCTGTTGACTTATGTGAATATATTTCAATTGTTTTTTATAATGTTTTTAAATATTTATGTACAAAATAGGTTTTAAACAGTCTACTTGAATGTCTATTTCCTAAATTACATAGTGCTCTTATAATTTTTTTTTGAGCTTTGAACGCAGTTGCAGTTACCAGTTTTAATAGCGATTTTAATATGGAATAGAATAGAATAGAAAATCATTTATTCAAATAAACTTAATTTAAGCACTTTTGAATAGTCAACATTTTTTTAAATCTACCGCTTATTCGGAAAGCTGTCTCATCACAAGAAGAATAAGCAAGAAACTTGTGTGTTGCTCTTTTAAACAATCCTTGTAAGTTCACATTTTACAAGTCGAAACGTGTGAATACAAACTACCAACCAGCACTAATTTATTTAGGCTCAAATATAAAAACACAATAAAATTAAATCAGTCGTAGTGATAAGAGCAGACCAGTCCCTACAAGCAGCACTCGTTCACGAGTATGACGGATGAGCCAGCCATCAGTGCGCTCGACCATATTTTAGGGAGCCCAATGACCCGGCCCACCACGCCGCCACATTTTAGTGAGCATGACTACTCACTCATTCCACTCGACCACGTCACACCTACAAAAATTACTATATGGTAGTTACAGTATTCGCACTTTACATGAGGATGCATGCGGCAATCAATACAAAAGCCGCTACGCTATCATATATCAAGAAAGCAGTATGAAAAATAAATTATAACGTTGTCCGCAAATAAACTTATACTTGCTATATATTGCTATCATCTATAAATTCATCTATCCTATAATAGGCTTTTTTACATAACATTTGTTTAATATAAAGTTTGAATTGCCTCTCTGTCAGATTTAGCGTAGATTCTGGCAGTTTATTATAGAATCTTACGCAATTACCATAAAATGAATTATTAACTTTGTGTAGACGGCATTTAGGTAAAATTAACTTATTTTTATTGCGTAAGTTTCTACTTGTACAGTCTTTAAGTTTCTTGAAACTATCTAAGTTTTTCCTTGTATACATAATATTTTCATAAATGTACCGTGTAATGGCGAAACAATGTTTACCGGGACAGGTAGTTAATATATAAAAATTAAAGGTCTTGATACCTCAGGTGATTGGATTCGTCTTACTAATATTATAAATGCGTACTCTCGGCACGGGCCGTCAGATTCTTATTGGAAAGCAGATGTTACAACAAATACATACATTTCTTATTAGTTACCAGAGTGTTCAATAGATGGCGCTGTGTGAAAAGTAAAACGCGCTATATTGTCGTTTTCACGGATTGGTATAAGAGATTTTAGAAATGTTATCTGTAGCTTGTTTGCCATTCAATAATTATTGAATGATAATTATTTATAATTTTTGGTACTCGGTATCGCACCGGGTAAATATAATTCGAGAATATTCATTCATATCATTAGATAGTGTAAAACAAAGTCGCTGTCGTTATCTATGTGTGCTTAAATCTTTAAAACTACGCAACGGATTTTGAAGCGGTTTTTTTTTAATAGATAGGGTGAGTCAAGGGGGACGTTTTATATATATGATACATGTACACCCGTGCGAAACCGGGACGAGTAGCAGTAGTATATAATAAAATTTAAGTGTCTCTTTGTAATTTCAAATGAACAGATTGTCATTAAATCCATGAAAGTATGTAGGTATGCTTAAATTTTTTTTTTATTTCGGAAAAGGCTGGACCGATTTTGATGGAAGCTATTCACTAAATTACGTATGTGAAAGTATGCTTAGAGCAAAAAATACATTTAAAACTTTTTGGGTAAAGACAGAAGGTGGTGGATGGCACATGATGGAATGAAAGTATATAAAATACTAACTGTGCCCGCGGTTTACCCACGTGAGATTTATAGCCTATATTTTATTCTCTGTATAAGCTATATTACTGTAAAGTTTCATGAAAATCCGTTCAGTAGTTTTTGCGTGACAGAGTAACAAACAATAAAAGTCACAAAGTTTTGCGTTTATAATATTATAAAATGCTCTTATATTGTTACTGAAGTAACTATAATATAGTATTTGAGTATTATAAAAAAAATAAAAAATAAAATAAGCATTATCTACCTGTTCAACAGGTAAATAATGCAGAAGAAAAGAAATATTATTGTGCACTAGCTGTACACGCGACTTCGTCCGCGTGGAATTTGACTTTATTTTTATAAAATAAAAGTAGCCTAAGTTACACCGTATTACATCAGCTACCTGCCAAAAAAAGTCCAGCCATTTCAGAGTTTAGCCGGAACAAACAGACAGACAAAAAATTTATTTTGGTATGTGTACCGTATTTATATTCATATGCATGTAGTAAAAAAACGGTTATTTCAATATTATAAACAGACACTCCAATTTTATTTATATGTATAGATAAGTCAATAAATTCTATTCTATTCTATTGTGTGTGCAGATTACTCGTGCGCGCTACAGAAGGACATCCTGATGCACGGGAGGCTGTACGCGTCTCAGAACTATCTGTGCTTCCACGCGAGCATCTTCGGCTGGGAGACGTCCCTCTCGCTCCGGTGGAAGGATGTCACAGCCATCACCAAGGAGAAAACAGCCCTGGTAACGTTGTACATTTAATTATTTATTTATTTATTTTCGTCACACTAAGTGAGCTCTACATATTCCCAATATGTCCACTTAGGAAGATTGTATACATATACACACACTTCTAAAACACTAGTCACTAATACATACAATAATTAAACAAGAAAAAAAAATTACAGTCTCCCAATATGAACACTTAGGAAGATAATATACAAATGCATACAATTATAAACACTAATTACATACATATACACTAATTAAACAAGGAAACAAAAGAGAAAAAAAAAACAATAATGATAATAATACCTAATCTTAATTTTCCATACTACATAAATAATCTACTGCCATTCTATGAATCTCCAGCAAATTACAAGTAGATAGTTCTGGAAAGCGACTAACTACACTACTAACTACATTACAGTCTCCCAAAATGACCACTTAGGAAGATAATATACAAATGCACACAATTATAAACACTAATTACATACATATACACTAATTACACAAGAAAACAAAAGAGAAACAAATAAAATAATAATAATAATAATACCTAATCTCCATTTAACATACTACCTATATAATCTACTGCCATCCTACGAAACTCCAGCAAATTACAAGTAAATATGTCCAGATCTGAAAAGCGACTGACTACACCGTTGAGTAGACTCAATGCCAGAGAAATAGGAGCCTGTTTGGCCAGCTCTGTTCTTCTCCATGGAACATGAAACAAGTTTCGTCTTCTTGCTTGTACGTAGTTATTGGGCGCTCTTATGGACACTGATGTTAATACTGCTTGGTTACATTTTTCACCTCTCATGACTTTGACTACATATTCCATTAATACAATCTTCCGTCTTACTTCGAGTGTGTCATATCCCACCATCTCCAACAAAAATATAGTAGGATATATATTATTATTGTTACTAGCTCTGAGATAGTGATCTTGGCCAAAAAATATTTCATAATCTAATCCAAAAAAGCTAAAGAAAAAAGTTTCATCGGTCTAGCTATAAAAATGACGAATTTTCATACAAATTTTCATCCCCTATTTTATTTAAGGGTAAAAATTTTACAAACTTTGTATGTCATATTACTTATTTAATCAACAGATCAAAAAAAATTTTTCAAGCTTCTAAAAATTACGATACTTCCATACAATCTTTCAACCCCTTACAACCCTTTTTCGCTTCAAGAAGTAACCTATGTCCTTCCTCAAGATCTAGACTATCTGTGTACCAAATTTAATTTATATCGGTTCAGTAGTTTTGGCGTCGAAGCGAGACAGACAGATATATGTACCAAATTTAATTTATATCGGTTCAGTAGTTTTGGCGTCGAAGCGACCCACAGACAGACAGTTAGTTACTTTCGTATTTATAATGTTAGTAAGGAATAAGGATTTTAGTAAGGATTCTATAAACGGACCAGGAGTACCCTGACATTGAGGGTGACGCAGCTGGAGTCGAGTCACAACGCGATTTTCAAGGCGTTTGTAGCCCGGGTCCACACTGACAGGGCTGCCCACCTTTCTGAAAGTGGACTACTGACCGAAGGGTGTGTCGGCGCTACCAGATTGTGGCAGATTGCCGTCGACAATACCGTAACCATAGAGACGATTTATATTGAAAGAAAGAACGAAATGAAAGAAAGAACGAAAGAAAGAAAGAAAGAGACGATTTATATTTATAGAGACGATTTAATATTTATAGTTTACTAGCTGGACCCGCGACTTCGTTCGCGTGGAATTTGACTTTAATTTTCTAAAATAAAAGTAGCCTAAGTTACTCCTTATTACATCAGCTACATGCCAAAAAAAGTCCCGTCACAATCGGTCCAGCCATTTGAGAGATTAGCCAGAACAGACAGACAGACAAAATTTGAAAAAATATTTTTTTGCTGTATGTACCATTTTTATCTTCATGTGCATGTAGTAAAAAACGATTATTTCAATATTACAAACAGACACTCCAATTTTATTTATAAATATGGACTAGCTTTTGGCCGCGGCTTCACTCGCGTTAATTTATCCCCTTAGGGTAGGAATTTATCAAAATCCTTTCTTAGGGGATGCCTACGTCACAGTAGCTTTATGCATGCAAAGTCTCAGCCCGATCGGTTTAAAATTGACAAAGTTTCATATAAACTTTCATTCCCTACTTTATCCCTTTGGGGGTAGAATTAATCAAAATCCTTTCTTAGCGGATGCCTACGTCATAACATCTACCTGCATGCCAAATTTCAGCCCGATCCGTCCAGTGGTTTGGGCTGTGCGTTGATAGATCACTACGTCAGTCACCTTTGAGTTATATATATTTAGATTTGAATTTCAATATAATTCTTAAGTATAATTGACGACCTCTGTGCTCTGTCGGTTTATTTCTTACTATCAGAACCACAAGCTCGTTTGGCCCCTATGCCAGACAATAAATTAAATAAATTGTATAAACTGAAAAAAAAATACGAGCTGAGTTTATTGTCAGTTCTTCTCATCTCGATATCATTCCGAACTGACGGTAGATTTGACATATCATAAGAGTCTGTAATATACCTACATGAATAAATATATTTTGAATTTGAATTTGAATAATTTGAAGTCTGTCAGTCAGGGAGTCAAGAGAGATGCGCAAAAACGTACCTCCCGTGTTTCGGCCAGTAAAACCGCGAGGTTGGAATGGCCTTGGGGGGCCGTTCAAGTATTACTTAAGGAGGTTTATTACAATTATTTACCTCCCCCATCCCCTTGTCAGCAAAAACCCTAATATCGGGCTACTCGAAGAAAAACTCCAATAGACTATTGCTATTGAGTAAAAACATACGCCACTGATACGAAACAATCTAAAGTGGCAATTCCAAAAACGAACCATCGATTAAGAACACGCCTACTTGATCTAGGTAGGCATAACCTTAAAATAATGATTCAAATTCAAATTTAAGAAAATCATTTATTCATCTAGGACATTTTAGCCGCTTATGAACGTCAAGTTTTTACATTATAATTTTTTTTCATAGTAACAGTGAAGTGTAATAACTTTAGTTAATTATTAAAGGAGTCAATAGAAATCGAAGACTTCTATTGTAAGTTACCAATACTTTGACAGTTGGCGGTCCCACAAGTTTTGTAACGTAGATTTTTGCCACAAAGAAATCACAGATTTGCACACCAACAATAATCGACGTTACTTATGACTAAAACTCACTGATTATGTACACTAGTATCGTTATTTCACAAGTAATAATTTAAAAACAATAAATAACTAAGAGCCAACTGACAAAGACTGTTTTCGGCAGTGTTGCCAGAGAGAAAAAAATTTGATGATGATAGGGACAATAACGGGCCATTGTTCCTTAAACAAACACCTGTACACAATTGATGTTACAGACAGCCCCCTTTGTCGGGGCTGCTTTGGAGCTGAAGAAACGGCGGCTCACGTAATCCTGGAGTGCTTACAGTGGCCCCACAACGAAAACAAATCCTTGGAACGGTGAGGTCGCTCCGTGAAGCCTGTGAAGACACCAGGAGTTTTCTGCGCTTTTGGGAGGAGCTTGGCTGGCTACTTTAGTAGTCTCTGCACAGGCTCTGCACGTACAACGGCCCGAATGAGAGGCTAATTGCGGAGACTGGAGTCCAACATACACTATAATACAATACAAAGACATACGCAATAAGGGGTCATTCAAGTATTATATAAGCAGATTTATTTACCCCCATCCCCTTGTCAGCAAAAATAAGCAAAGCTCTTACCCCCTCCCCCCATGGTTACGTAAATATTTTCAATTCATGTATTGTTTTTTAGTAAAGACAATGTGAGGGTTACCATTCGTGTAAAAAGTAAATAACTATCGATGACGTAATCATCTAGGCTCCCCTAGCCCCATGTCATCCAAAATAAACAAAGCAAAGATCCCACCCCCCATAGTGCTTACGTAATACTTGAACGGCCCCTAGGTTGATTGGAGGGTTGTCCCCTATACTTTACAAAAAATCTGTTACAAGTAACATTTTCATCAAATAGTATCAGTTCTGCATGCTATGCACTTAGAAGTCTCAGAGATGACCTTACTGTTGATCAGTTGAAGACTGTTTATTATGCTCTAATGATATCAAAACTTACATATAGTATAAAGTTCTGGGGCAATAGTTATAAATACATTATAAATAAGGCGTTTATATTACAAAAAAGAGCTATTAGGACTATTGTCCGTATACCACAAGTGCAATCCTGTAAGCAATATTTTAAAGAATACAGAATTTTGACTGTACCATGCTTATACATATTGGTGCTGTTAACAGATTTTGTAAAAAGTATTGTTGGTAGTGAGACCAGGGAGAATCGAGACATAAGGGAAAGTACTCGCAGAATGGATTACCCTAACATTATAAAACCTACCCTTAATATTGTGAAGCATGGTGAGGGTTTCCAAGCAGTAAGGCTTTACAACTCTTTGCCCAATAGTTTAAAGAAAATACATAATTGGAAGCTTTTTAGGAGGAGGTTGCGTTGTTTTCTGTTGGAGCAATCATTTTACAGTGTTGATGAATTTCTTAGCAGCAAAAATTGTATAATTTCAAACAAAATATAAATTGTTACTGAATAAATAAATATCAAATGTCATCCACCAGGTGATCCCGAACGCAATTCTGGTGTGCACTGAAAGCGAGAAGAACTTCCTCACATCGTTCTCTGGTCGCGACAAGGCTTACCTGATGCTGTTCAGGGTGTGGCAGAACGCGCTGATGGATCAGCCGATGAGCAGCCAGGAGATTTGGCAATGGGTGAGTTAATCTATTCAGTAGTAAGTAGTAACTGTAGCAGCACACTTTCTACACGTGCCCACCGTCCACGTCCTTGCAACTTTCTAGATAACGATTCTAGACAGTCCTACGGTACGTGTAACTACAGAAACGCAGCTGCGCGACCTTCAAGCCATCGTTACCTGCAGTTGCGCTTAAAGGCGACACGTGAAAAAGGCTGGAATAATTTAATAATAAATACGCCCTTCCGATCGATCCCCCGTCCAATTCAAACGGGGATCGATATTACGACGGCCTGAGCCGAGGTTCGAACCCCTAGTGGTGCCCTCAGACTAAAGTCGTATCCGTCAGGCGGTAGTGTCCTTCAGCCGCTCCATAAGTCCTTCCACAGTTTGAAGTGCCATCTGCACTCGCCCCCTAACGTCCGGTGAAGCTGTAAAGGCCAGCTGCGGCCAACAGCATTAGAGTAGTCCCAAAAACAGATAAAATACCCGTGCGGGCCCAACTAGTGTTTTATATTTTTTAAACCCAACTGAATACCCACAAACAGACACTATAATTAAAATATATATAATAAATAACTAATAATATTTTTTTTATATAATAAAAAAAATACAATGGAACACATGTACATGATAATTAAAAAGCAAAAAAAATTAAATATATATAATAATAATAGCAAAAACAAAATCGTCACAAAGGAAGGCCGGGTCGATGTGCTCCCTCAAGTATGGTTGAGTGCAATGATGGCTGGCTCATCCGTCATACTCGTGAACGGCTGCTTGTGCGGACTGGTCTGTTCAGGTTACGAACACAGATTAGATTTTTTGTTTGGTGCAATAGCATATGCTGGTGGGTCACTCTATTCTCCCAAATTTGAATTTTAATAACTGTGTATTATTGTAAACATGTACAACATTTATTTGAAAAGAATACGAGCTGAGTTTCCTGTCAGTTCTTCTCATCTCGATATCATTCCGAACTGACGGTAGATTTGACATATCATAAGAGTCTGTAATAGACCTGCATGAATAAAGATATTTTGAATTTGAAGGGGCAGATATTACTGTAAAATAAAAAAAACAGACCCTATAGTGGTGTAATGAGTATGCGCATACTTTTAACACACAACTAGTTTTTTTCCAAAGCGAGGTATGGCAAGCCGGCACGTGTTGTTTGCGAGCCGAAGAGATATTATAAATTTAAAACTATTCAAATAGCAATACACGAGCTACGTTTGATGTGGAGAGGATAAAATAATATTCTTTTTAATTTATTTCCTACTAGCTGTGCTGTGCCCGCGGTTTCACCCACTTGTACTTTATAGCCTAAATTTTATTTTGATGTATAAGATATTCTTGGAAATAAGACCAGAAGTGATTTTTTTTTAATATTTACAGCTACCTGAGGAAATTAAACTCAAAAATAACTTTATAACAAAACAATTTAATTGTAACCGTTTAACAATACATCTAAATTTAACTAATACGAATCAAAATTATAATATCTCATCATCATCATCATCATCGCAGCCCGGAAGACGTCCACTGCTGGACATAGGCCTCCCCAAAGATCTCCACGACGATCGGTCCTGCGCTGCTCGCATCCAATGCCTTCCAGCGATCTTGACCAGATCGTCGGTCCACCTTGCTGGAGGCCTTCCCACGCTGCGTCTTCCGGTCCGTAGTCGCCACTCGAGGACTTTACTGCCCCAACGGCCATCTGTCCTACGAGCTATGTGCCCTGCCCATTGCCACTTCAAAGTCAATTCTTCGGGCTATGTCGGTCACTCTGGTTCTTCTGCGGATAATATCTCACATCGCTTATTTTTTTTAAAGTCACTAGTATCCTGACGACTTAGGCGTAATGCCGGTTGGTCAGGGAGAGAAACACCTCAATGCCTACAATATTCACAATTACCTATCTCTTATTTGTTTTTATAATAATATAAACACTTTCGCTCCAAAACTCCCGCTGCCTCCGTTCAATTATCCGTCATCCACTTGTCAATGTCACATAGATTACTTTGGCTCTGGCCTCTGACGTTCCGTTTCAGGTTACATGATTATTGACTTTACCATTTTTAATTAATGGTGCGTCACACGATAGTTAACATTTTATACTGCAAAAATAATTAACCACGAAAAGTAATTACAAACAGAAATAATTAACCTCCAATTCAAATCAAACAAAATAACACTATGAACTTAGAAATATTATAACCGATAGCTAAACTAGCAGAGTAACGACCTAACAGTCTAAATCACAAAGTGAGAGTGTGTCGGTTCCTTTTTTTTATTTTTCGGACTACTCTAATGCTGTTGGCCGCAGCTGGCCTTTACAGCTTCACCGGACGATAGGGGGCGAGTGCAGATGGCACTCCAAACCAAGGAAGGACTTATGGAGCGGCTGAAGGCCAACTCCCGTCTGACGGATACGACTTTACCACCACTAGGGGTTCGAACCTCGGCTCAGGCCGTCGTAATTTCGATCCCCGTTTGAATTGCACGGGGGATCGATCGGGGCGCCGGTGTGGAGCGCCCGGGCGCCCGGTTGAATGCGCGATACGGTGTGTTTGAGGTCGTCGTCTTCGCCGGCGAGGACGGTGTCGTGATTGTGGGTAAAAATGTGGTCGGGGTGGTTTTTCTTTTTAATAGAAAGTGTCCTATGTTAATTCTTATACCTCCAAAAACATGTGTGCAAAATTTCATGTTGATCGTTTCAGTAGTTTTTGCGTGAAAGAATAACAAACATCCCTACTTTTACATTTTTAATATTAGTATGGATATATTATTGTTATTAGACGGCCTCGATGGTCTAGTGGTTTAATACACTGCCTTACTTCCGATGGTCGCGGGTTCGATTCCTCGCACAGCACAAACATTTGTATTCATAAATATGATTGTTTGTGTCAGTCTGGGTGTTTTCTATGTATACTATGTATGTATTTAGAAAAAAAATCTATGTATTTGTATCAGTTAGTTTAGTACTCATAACACAAGCTTTAGCTAGCTTAACTTATGTCTAGATGGCGCTGTGTGAATTGTACTGAGATTATTATTATTATTAGCGACAGGTTTGCTTGCAACGACCATGAAACCGTATGCCGAATCTATACTAATATGATAAAGCTGAAGAATTAGTTTGTTTGTTTGTGTGTGTTTGTTTGTTTGTTTGTTTGAACGCGCTAATCTCAGGAACTACTGATTCGAATTGAAAAATTACCTTTGTGTTGGGTAGTCTATTTGTCGAGGAAGGCTTAATCTATATTACATTACGCTACGACCAATAGGACCGAAGCATGAGTGGAAAATGTTACAGAAACAGGGAAAATTATACATATTTGGCTCAAGTTACCCAAAAATATGAAGTGTTTGTGATAACCACCCGAACGAAGTCGAGGGCACAGCTAGTTTTAAAAATAAAAGTGCATCGTGGTAAACTCACCAGTAACTAACCACAATGGTTTCCAGGGGGACCGCGTGGAGGTCCACATAACATGGTACAGGCTATGGTGGCCCCTATTATTGTAATAAAAAAATCCCCTTCCTACGCGATTTGTAATTTTATATAAATAAAAGATAATAAAACGGAGTTTCGTAGCTCCGAGATAATATAGCGGGAAAGGACCACGTACCAAGGTCAGATTTAATCTAGTTAGTGATGTACCACTGTGGAAGGTGACCGTCCCCACACAAACACTAGAGGGGCGTCTGTAAGTGTATTTTTGTTGTATAAATATGTAATAAAAATATTTATGACTGAAAAATTTATTTTAATGTTATGGTAGATAGAGAAGGTGACACAATATAATTTTTGTTTTTATATTTTTGATTATAGAATAGAAAAACCTTTAAATATATCAATATCAAAATAGTTTTCTCAACAATTTTTTTATGTATGATTATAATAATAATAATAATAATAATGTTGAATAGTCCGCAAATTTTTGTCTTCCACTTAAAAATTATCCATCCTCATCATTCATCATTTATACTATCATTGTTTGGTGATTTTTACCCGCAATGATCAGTCTATTACCCCATCAAAGGGAGATATATAATATATATATATATAAAAAAAATATATAATAATCTCAGTACAATTCACACAGCGCCATCTAAACATAAGTTAAGCTAGCTAAAGCTAAGTGTATTTTTTATGTATGATTATAATAATAATAATAATAATGTTGAATAGTCCGCAAATTTTTGTCTTCCACTTAAAAATTATCCATCCTCATCATTCATAATTTATACTATCATTGTTTGGTGATTTTTACCCGCAATGATCAGTCTATTACCCCATAAAGGGAGATATATAATATATATATAATAATCTCAGGACAATTCACATAGCGCTATCTAGACCCAAGTTAAAATAGCTAAAGCTTGTGTTATGGGTACTAGACAACTGATACAAATACATAGATTTTTTTTCGTAAATACATACATATTATACATAGCAACACCCAGACCGATACAAACAATCATACTCATGAATACAAATGTTTGTGCCGTGCGAGGAATCGAACCTGCAACCATCGGACGTAAAGCGGTCTGCTAGACCCCTAGACCACCGAGGCCGTCATATGGAATGGTGCACCCGCCTGCGCTAACGGTTTACGCTGGCGGGGCACCAGTGGAGGATGATACGATGAATAATGTTCTAATAATCCTTACTTCCTTACTAATATTATAAATGCGACAGCAACTCTGTCTGTCTGTCTGTCTCGCTTTCACGCCAAAACTACTGATTGATTTAAATGAAATTTAATACACAGATAGTCTAGACTCTGAGAAGGGACATAGGCTACTTTTTAATGCAAATATAGCTTTAAAAGGAGAGATGTAGGTTTCTGTGGATGTATCGTCATTTTTAAAACGAGAATTTTGAAACCTATTTTTTAGGCTGTTCATTAAATATAAATAAATATGACATTCAAAGTTTGTAAAAATTTTACCCTTAAATAAAATATGGGATGAAAGTTTCTATAGAAAATCTTAATTTTTGAAGCTATA